GTCAATCAAAATTAGAAAAATATTTAATGCTATCAGTTGTGTATAACAAAGCAAGGTTAGATAAATACATAGATATCAATATTTATTAGTGGAAGGGACAGGGAAAGGTGGGGGGTTGTTTATGAAGTACTGACTTTCTGTTTATGATGATAGGAAAATTGCATTGATTAAGGGAAATATTGACTTGACAACAAGTATGTGATAAAGTTACAATCATCACCACCATACATTTACACATAGAGTAGCTGCTTTCACTGGCTGTTGTTGTTGTTAGGGGCCATTAAGTTGGTTCTAACTTACAGCAACCCTATGCACTACAGAACAAAACACTGCCCAGTCTTGAGATATCCTCACAATTGTTCTTATACTTGAACCCATTATTGCAGGCACTGTGTCAGTTCATCTCATTGAGGTCTTTCCTCTTTCTGCGGCCCCTCTCCTTTACCTAGCCTAATGTCCTTCTCCAGGGACTGGTCTCTCCTGACAACATATCCAAAGTATACAAGTCTCACCATCCTTGCCTCTAAGGAAAACTCTGGCCATTCTACCAAGACATACTTGTTTGTCCTTTTAGCAGTGCAAGGTTACTTTCAATATTCTTCACAAGCACTACAATTCAAGTGCATCAATTCTTTGGTCTTTCTTATTCATTGTCTAACTTTCACATATGTATGAGGTTATTGAAAATACAATGGCTAGGGTCAGGAATATCTTAGTCCTCAGAGTAACCTCCATGCTTTTCAACACTCTAAAGAGGTCTTATGCAGTAGATTTACCCAATGCTACTTGTATTTTGATCTCTTGACTGCTGCTTCCATGAGCATTGATTGTGCATTCAAGCAAGACAAAATCCTTGACAATGCCCACCTTTCTCCATTTATCATAAGATAATCTCCAGTTGTGAGGCTGTTGGTCTTCTTTAAATTGAGTTGCAAACCATACTGAAGGCTGCAATCCATGATTTCCATCAGCAAGTACTTTAATTTCTCCTTAATTTCAGCAAGCAAGCTTCTATCATCTGCTTATTGAAGGTTGTTAGTAAACCTTCCACCAATTCTGATGCCACATTCTTATTATTCATATAATACAGCATCTCTGATTATTTGCTCAGCATACACAGTGAATAAGTATGATGAGATGACACAAGACACAACCCTGACACACCGCTTTCCTGATTTTAAGCCATGCAGTTTGCCCTTGATCCATGTATAGGTTCCACATAAGCACAACTAAGTGTTCTGGCATTCCCATTCTTCTCCAGGCTATTTATAGTTTATCAAATGCTTTGGCATAGTCAATAAAACACAAGTAAACATCTATGCTTCCAGCCAATATCTATCTAATTTTAGCAAATATCCCTTGTTTCTTATCCACTTCTGAATCTGGCCTGAACCTCTGACAAGCTCCCTGTCTAGTATTACTGCAACCATTATTGGATGAGCTTCAGCAAAATTTTGCTTGCATGTGATATTAATGATGTCCTATATTTTGAGCATTCTGTACAAAAATTGATCTCTGCCAGTCAGTTGGCTGGGTATATACAACCAAACATCTCATAGGTTGGTTTGGAAGTTTAGGGTTATGGTTTTTGGAACAGCCCAGTTCATTGGCCTGATGATGTTCAGTGCTTGTGTTCATTACTGTACATAGTGCCCAGATTCTTGAAAGTTGCAAGCAGCCATCCAAGGTTGAGAAATTGGTCTCTTTTTGCCTGGAAGTAGCGTCAGGAAAAAGTGGAGGAAATGAAATGTGTGGCTGATTGCCTCCATGAACAACTGCCTCCTTTGCCAGGAGACCGGAAGTAGTGGGTGCTGTCCTGTCATTATTGAGTATTTTGTTGAACAATTCTATCAAAGAATCCTGCTCCAAAGGGGGAAATTGTAAAACAGAATTTCATATTCTTAGGGGATCTAGACTTCCTGGAGACATGGAGGGTAGTGGATAAACTCCTGGAACTACTGCACTAAAATAATCTTTAAACTTTAAACCAAATGTATTCCCTGAAGCCTTGTTTAAGAAACTATAGTTTAACATAACTAGTAAAGAATGTCGGTATTGAGCATTGTGCTCTCTCTTGGTGAGATCAAACTGACAACAGCAACTTGAAAGATTAGTAAATTTTTGTTACTGATGGAGGAACAACTCAAAAAGGACAGCTACACACTCAAAGAATGTAGCTTATGTCAGGGAATTGTGCACATAGAAATTGTTGCCTTGGTGTATATGTTTTGCTGTATATATTTTCAACAACAACAAAAATTAAAAAATTAAAAAATATTTTCAACAACAACAAGAACAACAACAAAATTAATTGTTGTTTGCCAATCGTGTTTGCAAAATACAAACCAGTTGTTATCAAGGTGACTGTGTCCCATGGCAAACCATGTATATGTCAGATAGAATTGTGCTCCATAGTTTTCAATGGCTGATTTTTGGGGGGAATTAGTTGGCCAGCATATCTTATGAGGTACTTTCAGGTGGCCTTGGACCTCCAGTTTATGGGTAAGCAGCTTATGTAGCTTATCCACCATTTGTACCAGCTTGGGGCTCTTTTGAGAAGAATAAATTTGTAAAAGACAATCATGTAATTTCAGGTACTGATAAGTGTTTTGAAGAATGAGGAAAAAAGTCAAAGAAGGATTAAGACTGGTTTGAGAAAGTCTATCATATATACTTGTGTATAAGCTGAGGTTTTCAGCACATTTTTTATGCAGTTTTTGTGGTAAAATTAGGTGCCTTGGCTTATATGCAGGCCAGCTTATACTCTAGTATATACAGTATGTTAGAAAGGCCAATTAATTTTTTTGCTGTCCCTTGAATGTGCCAACCATCTCTCCATCTTAGGATCTTTGCATTTATTATTGCTCATACCTAGAATGCTTTTCTTGAAGGGACACCTGCATCAGTGTTTTCTCACTTCATTCAAGTCTTTACCCTCTTTCCATCACTCCCCGGTCCATCACCCTGCTCTACAAGTAGTCTTCACTGGCTGTGAGATGGAAATATATTTTGAGAAATAATTTGCTATCTGAATTCTCACTACTTGCTATTTGAAATTTGGGAATGAAAGAGTTCTGGAAGGCATGCATCTCTTGCTGTTTGATCTACATGTTTAAATCTGGGACCCAAACTTTTTGTATGGAAAGAGGCCATTGTAGTTTTCTTCACAGTACTTGTTACACTCTGGTTTGATTGTCTCTCTGCCTGCTTGTCTCTTCCTCTAAAATGTAAGCTCCAAGGTGCCTGGGACTGTTTTGCTCACTGCTGTGTCTCCACCACCTAGAATAGTGCCTCCCATTGAAAGGATTCTCACTAGTATGTGTTGAATAAATGTTAATATAGGAATGAATCTATTTGACCCAATTCATGGAAACTTTATTTTAAAGACATAGGATTGTATCAGGAAAAAATGTATTACATATTATTATATTTCAAGGAGCTGGTCATGGAATTAAATACACAGTATGGTTTCCACTTAGACTGAAAAACAAAAACAAGACTCTCCGAGTGTTTATTTATCCCATGAAAGGTAATTTGTGGAGTATTTGCCATGTACCTTACTGGGCCAGGTGTTCGGTCCTGGAACACCTGGATAGGGAAGACACATCATGAAGTCACTGTAAATGAGTGCGTTAATCTCTAGCACGTTCATCCATTTTCAGTTTTCAAAGGCACTAAGCCTCTTTCTTTAGCACAGTTTATTTCACAGCCACCTTGGTGCTTGTGCTTGTGGTCTCATGACCCCGACAGTCATACATTTTGGGGGGCACTATCCATTAGTACTTGTCTCCCTCTGTAGAATTAGTTCTGTGAGCGTAATGATATCAACCATGATATCACTTAATTTTCAATACCTAGCACAATGTTCAGTATATAAGTAGGTATACAAGAAATACTTAAGTGACTGCACGAATGAGTGATAATGTAGGGGAAGTACCTAAGAGGAACACCATGCTTAATCTAATGGGATTTAGGGGCAGTGTCCTGAGGAAGTGAGTTTCCTGAGTAGCACAAATGGCTAACACACTTGGTGCCTGACTGCTGGGAGAGAAAGGTTAGAATTTCAAGTCCACGCAGAAGCACCTCAGAAGAAAAGTATGTTGATCTGTTTATGAAAAATCAGCCACCGTTCCGACCCACATAAGGTTGTCATAAATTAGCATCCACTCCAGGGCAACAGTCATGGTTCTGAGGAAATGAAATTTAAGCTGTTCTCCGAAGAATGAGGAGGAGTTAGCCAGTGAAGAACAGCAGGTCAAATGATATGGAGCTTAAGCTCAGGCTTTATCCTAAAAGCAAAAGAAAAGTTTTCTTTGCCCCAGACATGGGGAAAAATCAGACACTATTTTTAAATTACTGATTTTTCACTGGTATTATGAACAGACTGCTCAGGCAGTACTGGAGCAGAGAGATTGTTTGGGAGGCTTAGTATCAAACCTCATTCCATTTGGTTTCTTGCATGCTGGGAAAGAGGCAACAGGATTCATTTCAGGGAATTTTAGAACACAAGGACTGAGTAGGCTCAAGGATGAAGGAAAGGGAAAAGCAAGGTATGATCTCAAGCTTCCTGAGTCCGTGCACCAAAATCAGAATCTCAGATGGAAGAATGATATGAGGAGAAATACATGAAATGTTTAATTGATTTTCAATATATATTAGGATTTACCATTAGAAACACTGTGGCTCAAAATCAAAGGGGCAAGAACCTCAGATCATCTCAGGTTCAATGTGTATTCAGTGAAAGCAAAGAAAGGGTTCTTCATATAAGTAGTTTGCTAAATCATGCAGCACTACAGTGTGGGTGACATTGGACATTTGGGTGTATCATTCAAAGAAGGCTGCTGGAAGCAGGTCTTTTTCATTCATACATTGTTAGTTCCTGGACTCAAATGATGCCTGAAATGATAACTATTCTTTAGTTTTGTTGCTAACATTTTTATTTCCTTTTTCATTTCCTGCAGCTATTCTACAATGATGCTATTTGTGTTATTGGTTTGCAGGTTGATTGGGGTCAGCTGGACTATTTAGTTGTTGATATGCCACCTGGAACTGGAGATGTGCAATTATCAGTCTCACAGAATATTCCCATTTCAGGTAAGTCTTAAAAGTTAAAAGTAATTTGTGCTTTCAATGATATTTGTCTATTGACATGCAGAAAAATAAATGCTGTGAGGGGAAAAATTTTTTTTAAACATTTTATTAAGGGCTCATACAACTGTTATCGCAATCCATACACACATCAATTGTGTAAAGCGCATTTGTACTTC